TTTGTTTATAAAACGCTTGAAAGTAAGCGTAATATAATCGAAAAGGAACATTGGTTATAAGCGTAGAAATATAAACTTGTAATAAATGTTCAAAAGAAAGCTTTTTATAAGCGTAAAAGTGTAAACTTATAATAAAGGTTCAAAAAAAGTTGTTTATAAGCGTATGAATATAAACTTACTAAAAATTTTCAAAAGAAAGCTTTTTATAAACATTTGTATAACCNCATTTTTATAACCCTTTATTTAAAGATATTTCATTAAAAACTCATACATAGATTGCTTAACATCTAGAAACTAAACGAAATGCGAATTTTCGGCGGACTCATCTACAGTCGCGAAAATATAAATAGGGAATAGACATTTTAGCATACAAATTCACGATAACACACAAAAATTAAGCATAAAAAAGTTAATTATTACATCTTGTTGCGTGCTTTTAATTACATGAGGTTATTGGCAATTTGGAAAAACGACATCGATGCAGCTATATATTCCGCTTCATCGCCGCCATTCTCATTGATGAACTTTTCTGAAAAAAATTTAATACATTTTTAATTGAATGTTAAGCTAAGAAAGGATAAAGAGAACTCATCATTTGAAGACTCGAATGCTCCACCGATTGGCGCAGCGGGTCCTGGATTGGATTTTTTTTACCGCATCGGTTTTATTTAATTTTTTCTTTTAATAATATATTTTAAAAAACGTAAACACGTCACTTACGATTGGAAAAATGTTATATTTACTACTTCATGTCGTTGGCATTTGCATTTCATTTAAAAGTTTTAGTTATTTATAAACATTCGCTCTCAAAACTTATTAAAGGTTTATTTGAAAAAAACTTTTAATAAGCTTAATATTAAAAATGCTTATTAAACGCTTATTATAGCAAACTTACTTTAAGTTATTTTTAAAAACATTTACTGAAATGCTTGTTGGGTATTTAATTACTTGTTCAAGTGGATTCTAATGAATTTGAAAGTATTTTTGGTTATTTACATGTGTGTGCTGAGTGTGTTTACATACAAAATAAGCAAAACTTTACAACCAAAATTTGGAGGTTATGTTGAAGTTGACAGAAGTTACAATTTTTTACTAGAAAGCGATCCCGTACTTTTCAATGTTACCCTCTCTTTTTGACAGTTTTACTAGTCGAGTCCGAGGAATACGCGATTGCTCCTAGTACTTAATCGAAAAGACTCAACATTGCTTGGGATCGATCAAAAAGTATCGAGTATGAAATATCGGTTCTAAAGTATCGATACCTACTAATATCGATACTGATCTATTATTTTTTATTGCCCAAATAATAGACATAAGAACGATTATAAGAAAAGTAAACATAACAAAACTGTCAAAGCTAAACTTCAAAATGGGGGGGATTGCCAGATGAATGTACGTAACCAATAGTTATTCAAGACACGAACCATCATATCGGTATAGACACGGATTGACATGGCCACTATGAAGACGCCCACACTGACATGCGATAAAAGAATCGGTGTTCACATACCACGAGACTAGAAAAATATTTTTTCTCTTTGGAATTGGGCACGGAGCGAACCACACTCATCAACCCTCGCAAGAACGGAATTACAACCAAGTAATTAAAGTGGATTAAAAGCTGGCGACATTCGGGGAGTCGATACTCACCCCTCAGTGGAAATTAATAGAGACAAAAGGTGCCGTCACATTCCTTCCGGCAAATCCCCAGCCATGTTGTTGCGTATAATAAAGAAGTTGTGAGCATCAAATCCGGACTATTCATTTCACAGCAATTGAGTCACCATAAGCCGGTAATACAAAATCATTACACGTAAGTCAGCCACTTTTTTGCCACCATCCATTGGAAACGAGCTATCCATCAACCGTAAATAAAGATTCCTGTTTGGACCGACAAACCAAGGTCAAGCAAATCAATACTTTTGGCTATAAAGGTATTTCTTAGTCCCCTTTCAGACACGTCAAGTCTTGCTTTCAAGTGTGCTCGTTCGATGGCGAAGGAGGAGAGAAGAGAGGGGAAGAGTACAGATACCTCCGTACCGTCAATTCGTTTCAAGTTTTCTTGTCTCTTGTGATCTTTTCGTTGCTTCCCATTTGAAGAACCAAAGACTTGAATTCAATTGAAGTTGACGCGTGTGGAAGCAAATAGAAAACACAAAAGATAATGCGAAAAAAATTGCTTTCAAGACTGGACGTGTCTGAAAGGGGACTTATGAACCAAATAAATAATTTTTTCTTTATTTTATGTCAAGTTAACCATTATCTGGGAATCTTAAAAACCAAACTATATGTTTAATAATGAATGGTATTTGACACAGACAATGCATGGGGAAAAATTAAAAGAAAGTTAATCTCGTTTAAGAAAAAAATTTGCTCATAAAATATTTATTAAAAAAAGCCTTATTTTGTTATACTTCCCACGAATATAGGCTTTTAAAAATTATAAGCCAAAAATTTAAAAACGATAGTTGTAAAAATGTCTCCTTATTACTTCACTTGATAGAACTCCACATACAATTGGAAGTGTGAAGAATACAGAAAGAAAATGATACGGCTAAAATTTTACTAATTGAAATTCTTAAGCTTTTAAAAATTTAAGATTTTGTAGTATCTAGATAGCGGGAATTGGAGTAATTTTTCTATTTGACATCTACTTTTCTCCAGACTAAATGCAAAGATATAGTTTAAATTTTCTGGAATATTTTAATTTTTACCAAGAATTTTTTAATCAACTCTTTCTACCCTGCTCTTTGCCTTCTTTGATTATATTCTTAAATAGCAGACTCCCACTACTTTTGTATTTTCCGCTAGTCTTTTCTGCGTATGTATTTCTTGCATTTTGCTCAAGAGGTTCACATGCTAACGCGCTTCAAACCCGTAAAGTTGCCCAGTGAGCTTAATTTCGCGGTGGAACGTCTGTACTGAACATACTTCCACTCGAGCAGTTGGGCCGTGTAGACGTTGCATTACATCGACTTTGGTGAGTCAATTGTAAGTCCCCTTTCAGACACGTCAAGTCTTGAAAGCAATTTTTTTTCGCAATCTCTTTTGTGTTTCTATTTGCTTCCACACGCGTCAACTTTAATTGAATTCAAATCCTTGATTCTTTAAATGGGAAGCAACTAAAAGATCAAAAGAGACAAGAAAACTTGGAACGAATTGACGGTACGGAGGTGTCTGTACTCTTCCCCTCTCTTCCACCCTCCTTCTCCACCGAACGAGCAGACTTGAAAGCCAGACTTGACGTGTCTGAAAGGGGATCAACGTGTATTCTTGGCACTATATCGACTTTGTCGCATTTGTTGGTTTGGCAATTAAACAGCCATAAAGAACAATGCGCTTCATATTCGGAACAACAATGGACGAAAAATTGCCGAGGCAAAATTTGCTTTAAACTGGCTACACACGACAAACATATGCGCGCACATGTGCGCCAACATGCTCGCTGTCGTTTGCCACAGACGGCGAGCGGCTCATATGTACAATACAATTGCAATGCCTTTAAGTTAGCTTTTTTTGTGTATTTGTTACTTAAATTTATTTATATTTTACTTATATGTATGTACATACATATACTTATAGTAATTTAGCCTCATTTATCAAAAGTTCAATTGACGCACATGGCTTGGATGCATTTATCCGCCGATCAACACAAAATGAGGTTGTTGTTTTTGTTTCCAATGCGATGCTCGCAAACCACGCTACAAACGACGAGCATGCTCGCTGAAAATCAAATTTTTTTGATTTTTGGCGAGCATGCTCGCAAACCGCCCTACAAACGACGAACATGACCCGCAAGCCGCGCATGTGCGCGGATATGTTCGTCGTGTGTAGCCACTGTTATGGACCGTTTTTGCTGCATTTAAAATGCAACATTTAGCACTTTCGAACATATGTTTTCGAAGAGCGTTCATGCTATAGCATTTAGCAAATGTACATTTACGCGAGTTCGAAATCGTATCCTTTTGACAAACAGCCGTGTTCCAGTCTCTTATTTAGATGCGTATATATTACGATCAATTCTCACGCAGAAGATAATGTGCAAAAACCCTACTGAAAAGGAAAAAATAAATTTTAAACCAAAAATTCAATACAAAAACTTGAATTGTTTTAACCATAAACGAACATTTGTTTGTGTATATATTTATTTGTCGGTGCATTCAATTAAAATTTCCTCACTTAATTAGGAAACAAACCAAACAGAGTTGATCACAAATTGATCCAGATTTCTATCAGTATCAAATCGATGTTGAATTTGCTTAACTTTTCTTTATCCAAATATGTAATGCAAAATAAAAGAAATCTCGATCGGCGATCACTGAAACGCAGCTAGCAACTGTATACTCGAAAAAGCAATGTTGCCACTTTTTCTCTTTAAACCATGTTCGAATCGTGGAAATTTTGGAAGATCACAGGGTTGCTTTTAGCATTTAGATTCTTAATGCAAAAATGTAGTTGCATTTAGTTGCATTTAGGTGACGAATTTTGTATGGATAAATGTACATTTAGAGTAGCATTTAGAGCTAAATGCGCTAAATGTGCTTTTACGCGTAAGCAAAAACAGCCTATTAGTATAGAGTTTCGTTACGAGTATTTGTTTTTCGATACCTTGGCTCAGAAATATTGATGCCAAAATTACTTGGTATCGATCGAAAAGTATCGATTTTTTACTTCTATTTACTCGTATCATTTCATTCCTAACTTTATACTGAACATAAAATTAGGGGAAAAAATTGGGATTTCTAAACTCCTTAATTCCGGCGGTGAATTTATTAATTTAAACCAATTTCATAAAATGGAGCCTTTGGTAGTCAATCAGCCGGTTGTCATTGACAATGTAAGTGTGGCGTTTATTTAACATATCGAGCTTGTTGAAAAATGGGGGCGTCCGGCATGCGGTGACATCACTCGCTTTTTGAACTAATGTATCTACATATGTACATACAATAATGAAGTTGCTCGCCTTCCACCCTTTCTTTCTCTTGAATTTCAACAATTGGAAAATAGGAGGAACCATGATTCAATTGAATAATGGAGCCGCGTACAAACAAAGCGGTGACTAACCTTTACATACTTTTCAGTATACCTTTGATAGAATTTAAGCCGTATTCAAAGTTGCAAACAAGTTTTAATCATTGGTTATATGCTTTTCTTAAGAAAAATGTACATACGAGCGGTTCGTATATAGGCATTCAAATATATTTTATTTGGCTACAGTGTCAACGTTTATATTTTATGCAAGATTTGGGGTCATATTGTCCACCCAACCGAATTTTTTCTTCTAAATGTAAGTCGCCTCCATATTTTATAGGATACACTACTGGCTGTTTCTCTTGAACCGATGTAACCGGCAAACTTAATAAAATAGAGTTTCTATCAATTTGCTTTCGTTCACATTTCCCATAGTGCTTCTTAAATACCTCAGGTTTTGAGAGTTTGTCGTATGGATCACGATTATAGTCTCGAAAATTTTGGCATTCTAGGTAAAAAAAATCGATGTTTTCCAACTTAGTATAGTTTACCATTGTCAAACCAATTCTGGGCGCAAAGTTCAAGATGAGTTTTCTCTGGTTTATAGAGCTTTTTGACACGGTCAACATATCTACTTCAGGCGTTAAAACCAATTTCATATTTGTAATTCCTATAAAAAAGTTAAAGAGAAATTTAATTTACATATCGCTCGTTTAATTATATAGAGATGTAACTAAAAATTTACGTTTTTGGAGATTTAATTGTACAATAACAGCCTTGATAAATGTTTTTATCCTGTATCAGTGAACATTTTTTGTTACAGTTTTGTTACGGAAAAATATATGAAAAATTTCCACTTTTAGTTACAAAAGTTTTGTCACCGATACAGATTTGGGCTGTTAATAAGCTTGATAGGTAGAATAAGTACACTTGTGATCAGCTAATTAAGCCAACAAAGTTTGAAATCTGGATTTATATGGTGTTTGTTATATAATGAGCTAGACTTTTATGGAAAAATAATAAACATTAAATAAACGAAAGCAAAATAGCCAAAATTTATCAAAATATTGCTGGCTTAATAAGCTGATCACAAGTGTATGTTCCACCTAACAGATGACTAACTTTCCCAAAAATGGCGATGATATGTGGATTTCTATCTGTATTTTGGCATACCAACTGTATGAATTGATCAAACTTTGATTGCGTTTTCCCACAAAATTGAAATTTTGATAATTTAATGGTATTATCTGTCGGCAAAGTTGTTGAAATTTTAAACTTATAATTGTAATTTTTTACTCAGGGTTCTGGTGTCATAAAAGCTGGTTTTGCAGGTGAGCACATTCCCAAGTGCCGATTTCCTAACTAGTAAGTAAAGTGGGAAATTTACGAAAATGTTTTATGGGTACAAATAATTTTTTTCAGCATCGGACGCCCTAAACACGTTCGGGTAATGGCTGGGGCACTCGAGGGTGACATTTTTGTCGGCCCCAAAGCAGAAGAGCATCGCGGTCTGCTGAGTATACGCTACCCCATGGAACATGGCATTGTTACTGACTGGAATGACATGGAACGGATTTGGAGCTATATATATAGTAAAGTATGTTATCTCAATGTCTAATTAAATATTCTTTTATTATTTGAGCGCTTTCAAACAGGAACAATTAGCAACATTTACAGAAGATCATCCAGTTTTATTAACAGAAGCCCCGCTGAATCCCAGAAAAAATCGAGAAAAGGCCGCTGAATTTTTCTTTGAAGGAATAAACGTACCCGCACTTTTTGTATCAATGCAAGCTGTCCTCAGTCTGTAAGTTATTTTTAGTATAAATTCCTTATCACACATTTTGAAATGTTTTGCTTGAAGTTATGCTACAGGTCGTGTCACAGGAGTAGTGCTCGATTCCGGTGATGGCGTTACTCACGCAGTGCCTATATATGAAGGATTCGCGATGCCACATAGTATTATGCGTGTTGATATCGCAGGCAGAGATGTAACTCGCTACCTTAAAACTCTTATACGAAAAGAAGGATTTAACTTCCGATCAACAGCGGAGTTCGAAATTGTACGTTCCATTAAAGAAATGCTGTGTTATTTGGCAACTAATCCCCAGAAAGAAGAAAGCGGGGAGACTGAAAAGGTCGCTTATATCTTACCGGATGGCAAAACTTTAGAGGTGGAGTATATTTTGTTATAATAGTGAATAAAACCTAAAACAAGAATTTTTCATCAGATTGGTCAGGCAAGATTTAGAGCACCTGAAGTGCTATTTCGACCAGATTTGCTGGGGGAAGAGTGTGAGGGCATACACAATGTGCTTATGTATGCAATCGAGAAGTCAGATATGGATCTCAGAAAAATGTTGTATCAAAATATCGTATTATCTGGTGGCTCTACATTATTTAAGGGTTTTGGCGACCGTCTGCTGTCGGAGTTAAGAAAACACTCGGCAAAGGATTTAAAAATTAGAGTAAGTTATGCAAAAATAATAGGTTCATTCCTGTACAATCTGAACCGGACATGTCCCAAAGTACGGAGACGCAAAAACCACATTTGGTGCCCAGAATTTGATAAACAGCTGATTCACCTGTTTTTTTGTTTTTTGTTTTTTTTGCCACTTAAATGCAAACACCTGGAAACTGGATTTTGGTTTCACAAATTTGATTGTATTGATAAATTAGCTTCACTGCGTCTAAGCTTTCCTGCAAACCATTTTTTCAAAGTATTCTGAATTGTAGAGAAATTTTAAAGAATTCGTAAAGATCTCATCCGATTTTTTGCCTAATTTTCTAAAATAAAATAAACTGTGCAAACTTCGCTTTTCGAAATTTCAGAAGAAAAACGGTAAAGCAAAGATAATAATGCTGCTATGTGAAGAATTTCTTGCAATATTTTTTTCGGAATTTTCTTTATTTTTCGTAAAGAAATTTCTTTACGAGTTCGTGTCAACCACTTCATATAAGTTTCTTTGAAGATTCGTAAATCTTGTTGCAGAAATAAGATACTCCTTTGGGTTGCAGGGTTTTTATGTTGTTACGCCCTCTTAAAACTCTTAATGCCCATTCAGAAATAGATTTAAATAACATTATGAAGTGAGATTTTCTAATAATATAGTGAATATATATTTTTTAATACCATGTCCCCACCAAAAAGTTAACCATCTCAAATCGAACTTAACCACATCACCAACTATTGCTATCCACACTGTGGTTTGAGATTTATAAAACAATACAAATGTAAAGAACAGTGTCCAGACCTCCAAAACTCGATTCAGGACTAATTGCTGCAAAAATCGGAGCAAAAACGAATTTTCCGTACTAGATTGAATTTTTTATTTTTGTTTCTGACATTAATTGTTTGACTAAAATATTTTCTATTCATGCAAAATAAGGAAGCGAAGCAATGTAAGGATAATATGTTATATAGAACGTATCTAACACTTAATTTTTTAAAAAGCAAACCTACTTTATATAAATTTCATTCTTTTTAACAACTTAAGTAAAGTTCTGCATCCGCCAATTTGTACAGCCATACATCAAAAAATAACGAAGTTACTTTATTAACGCATTGCTATGAAAGAGTTACTTTTTAACAGTGAGATTTGGCTAACTTTCAATTTTTTTTTTTGCTGAAACCGGTGGTGTACACTCAACGCATTCCCACGACAGCCGGTTCTACGTATCGGAATGACTCGGGTTTTACCCGACCAAGGGCTGTTGTTTCGGCGATCTAACCCCGTTTAGGTCGGCGAAGTATCTCAGAAGTTGTTCGTCCATAGGGCTACATTCGCTACGTTTTCTCCTACTTAGGGCTGGCATCGAGTCAAACCCAGGGCCAGAAACCTACACCTGCTGTGTATGCCAGAGGCGACTACACCACAACTCCACCTCTGTTGTTGTTGTTGTTGTAGCGGCTACAACAACCCCGCCCAGGACGGTTGGTATCTCAGTCGTTGTCGTCAAGTTCCACTAACGGCAACCCTAGGAAGCGTGCAGCTTCTGTGGGGTTTGTCCACAGGGACCGGCCGGCCTATTGCCTTATATGTTGCCAGCAACGTTTCTTTGTCTTTGCCACAAGTACTGCCGGCTAGCGACTTGAGGACCTTGTTGCGGCTCTGTACTTTATTGACAATAGCGGTTGAGTGCGCAGAGAAGGAGAGCAGGCTGTCGAATGTTACTCCGAGTGGAGTCACCTCAGAGTCTGCTCAGGACTACGGACACATCGGCAGTTGACCACGTCTTTTGTGGCCCCCTGTTGCTATAACCGAGCAGCCTCCACGGCTAACCCCAGTCCACCTGAGCAGTCCCACACAAACACCGCAGCACAACAACATAACACAATAGACCACACCACAACGGCTACAGACCACAGAACACACAACCACACCACAACGGCTACAGACCACAGAACACACAACCACACCACCACCCACACGCCGCCGCCAACAACTTCTGGTTCCTCCTACAATCTGCACGGTATGTCAGACCAGGATATTCCGTATTTTGACATCAGTCAAATGCAACACCTGCCTTGGCTGGTGCCACTTTAGGGCATGCTCAGGTCTGCGCACCACGCGAGATTGGACGAGGAACTTCGAGGGCCCGTGCTGCGCTGCTCGATCGCAGACCTCAACTGCGACGCCTCCCGCCACCACCACAGGGCGGCAAACACCTCAGCAGCGCACACTGCCATTTGCGGCACGACCACACACATCCCTCACATCCCGCATCTACACGCGTCTCCCGAACCACATGAAGCTCCTTCAATTTAACTGTAACGGGCTACAGAGCAAGATCGATAACCGTCTTCATGGGAAGGCATGGCATTTTGACAGCTGCGACGCAAGGGACGAAGTTGCACAGCAATTCAACACTGTTGAATTGTGCCGGGTACAACGTGCACCGTCGAGATCGCGAGCGGGATAATGGTGGAGGCTTAGCGTTCATTACGCACCACACCGTGCAGTATCGTCTCATCGAAGCAGTTATCGACCGCAGGGATACCACCCTAGAATG